CTTCAATGTACAAGTTATGAGGGTCAGCGAAAACAATGTTTACAAGACATTAGGAAGTCTCCGGGATCACCCCTTACAATACAGCACTTCCTGGGGCCATTGAACAACGAAGACTGTGCTTTAAATACGGCAAAGGCCCTCCTCTGTTTTCTTTTAGCAACAGGCCTGGATAAGAGACTCTAATGCTATGTACTGAACTTTCTTGTCCAAATGGTTGTGTGTGTGTTATGTGTGATTGTGTCTCTTTTGTTCTTTATGTTTCTTTCCCTCTTTCTTACCTCTGTGATATCCCGTACCCCTTTCCCACCAGAGTAGCCTGTCAGAAGATTGTACTCCCGGCTAACATCTCTAATTTCCTTTTATTGCATAAAAAAAAAAAAAAAAAAAAAACCCACACACCTTTCGGCAGCTCTGAAGTGGCGGGGAACGCACTGCGATTTCCGTGGGTGGAGTTCAGATTGCTGGTACAACTTTAATGAACACAAAGAGGTTACAAACAGTCAATTGCACGGTCATTGCCTAATCTGTTCTTGCTTTATTGCACGAGAAAACGACGCTAGCATGCAGTGTGAAAAGTAAACAATCAGTGGCGGCAAAATGAACAGGCCTAACCAACCTTACGTCTGTCTCCTTCCGATTTTTTGACGTTCTCTTTCTCATTCTCTCTCTCACGATTACTGATGTCAGTGCTTGCGATTTCCCACGCTCTAGTCACAGCTTTGCATCCCTTATCTACGCGAGGTAGAAGTGTTCGAGCCTTTAAAATCCGGCGTAAACAACTGACGCAATCGAACACATCAAACTCGTTGCGCATGCGCACCGCCAAGTTAAAAGAAATGACGTAGCGCGCTTCTGTCAAATTCCGCCAAGATCTCTGAAATCTCGCAGATCAAGGTCGGCGGGGTTGGAGGCACTCCATGGGGCGAGCTGTGCAAGAGATCTATGAGCGGAAGATGACCAACTTGTGCCAGATCTCGAGCGCTTTTGGAGCGATCGAGATCTGCGTGCGGAATTCACCATATGCCGAAGATGAATTAGGAAAAGAAGCTCGGCGCTAGAGAGTGCCTTCGGTTTTACTTGCAGTGCCGTTATGTTTGCCGTGCCTCTCTTCTCGAATGCTGCTGGAATATTTCCAAAAATTTATAATAAAAAATATTAATTTTTTTCTTCCAATTTTGGTTTGCAGCGTATATATATATATATAATATATATATAAAATATATATAATTTGTAAAAAAATTACGATCCAATGCATGGGACTCCTCCAGAGTCGGGGGCCCTGGGCTGCAGCACCCTTAGCCCGTTCCTTAACCCGGCCCTGGATCACGGGCTGCAAATCCAATACAAACCCTTCACACAACGTCTTCACTAAGGACCGTTCACTTACCTGGTTGGCCCAGTTCACTGCTTGAGTGACGAGTCTTGCAACCTCGTTGCTGACAACTCTTTTTCCAGAATTTCGCGGCCGTCTTTTTTTCGTCTTTGAACGAAAACTCAACAGCAACTAATTGACTGCACAAATACGTTTTGCTAATATTATAGAAACAAAGTTAAATTCAGATGCCCCTCGTCTACAGCTGGAAGGAGGGAAAAGTTCTCCAATATGGCGGCTCCAAGTGGCATGATAATAATAGCTGGCAAGTATTTTGCATAGGGCCTATTTCAGGTCACGTTTTAATCATGCGTCATGACGCTTTCGCACCTTATCTCGAGGATGCCATGCGAAAAAAAAAAGAAGAAAACAACAAGAACATAAAAGTTGAAACGACTGAGTATTTATTTTGTTGCTATTTTTAGTCCTCTCAGTCGCTTTTTACCACACATCGACAGACGCTGACAGACGGATGTATTGGACCGTCACTCGCGCATGATGGAACGCTAGAACGTCGCTTTTATGGTCGAGCCTTGCGAACGTTCTAAAAGTTTTTATACGGGGCGGAATAGCAAACGGACGCCGACGGGCAGCGTTCATGTCCGCGTCCTACGGCCATGGCAGACGACGAAAGACGCTGGCGAAATAGCAGATGGTGCGGGAGGCTGCCGCGCGTCTGCTCAGACAACTAGCAGGCGTTGTCAGACGCCAGACTAGACGCACCGGATGTAGGGAAAATGAAGACAATATGCTTCCAAGCATCTTCAGCCGAGCAGCCAAGCGAATTCAGTAGTAATGGGTGGGGCTACTGATCTGTGGGCGGGTCTTAGAACGGGTCGTGACCTCCACCTAAATTGCGTTTAACGGCGTAAATAATGTACTTTCTTTTTCACGCAAAAGTTACGGAAAAATTACGTGTCCCAGTTATTCCCTTTATAAAAAAAAAGATTGGTTTTTTACTCTAGTGTGTTTTTTAAAGGTAAAAATTATATTATCCAAAGTTATTATTATATTACATAAAAATAATAACGTTGGTTGTTTTTGTTGTATAAATATATAACATACACTATTTTTAAATTTGTCATGATGCTTGGCAGTCAATACTACACTACCGGCTTTCAAATGCTCGATACATTCAAGTTAAAACCAGAGTTGTTCAAATTAGAGCATAGAATGCCATAGATTGTAAAATAAATGTTTCAAGTGCTTGCAATACGAAACGTACGTGACAAAAGTTACTTTCTTGAAGAAAAAAATGGGGGCGAAATCGGTGCTCCAGTGACGCTGATTCTCGAAGAAATGAGTGTGCATTTCGCGCAGCGGTTTTCTAAAAGAAAGCATGATGAATGCAGCCTCTGAGCACTTTTCCGCGGGATGAACGTTCCCGAAAACGCTACTCCCTGGTGCAAGCAGGTCAGGTCCCTTAGCGTGTGCATGAAGGATGGCGGCAGCACAGGACTGGCTGGCCATAGAGTAACACCTAGCAACCGCAGTGCAGTGGGGGACAGCGGAGCTACTTGGGCAGCCAGCAGGGCGCCGCGAGGCGGCGTGTAGGGGTAGTCCAAGGTGGATTATATTTTCTCATGAGCCATCCGCAGATTACTCTGGGAGAGGAGGGGAGGAGGGTGTTAAAGGGGTATGCAAACTCGCGGCGTGTTCCGTGAACGGCTCACAGCACCGCCAAAAAAGCTGGACTCCCTTTCCGTTTTTCTGCTTGAACATGACAGCGAGTCGTGGCGAGCCGTGGTGGTCGGAAAGGGGGAAGCGATGTGACTGGCCCACCCCCACCAATGGAAATGCCTCTGTCCACGTGCTCGGTGCGTGCTCGTTGCGTGCATCTAGTGGTTTTGTCATGGAACACGTCACGGGGCAAGACGCTGTAGCTTGCTGGAAAGTGTCGTGACGAGGAGTGAAGTCTCCCCGGCCATGTCGTGTAGCGGATTTTAATATTAGTTTCATGAGAGACTCAGCCTTAAAGGGACCATGAAGCCAATATAATTTTTTTTTTAAAAAGAAGGTGTTTTTGGAGGCATTGGGGTCCTGGCATGCCGCACAATTTTTTCTAGAACGTTGTGACTCTTATTTCTGTACCTGCAAATAAATTTGCGAAACCGAAAAAAAACATTCAAATTTCTTCCCTTTTTCGCCTCTGGAAAGAAGTGACGTCAGGGAGCACTGTCGGCGTCGGTAGGATTTAATGCACACTCAGTGTGGTTCCCGTAGTTCGCTCTAGTGCACGGCGGTTTGTGAAGAAAACCTGGAAGAAATGGACGACCACGCCGCGCTCGCAAACGAGTTTGAGCTCCCGTTCAGCGACCTCACGCCGACTGAACGGGAGATGCTGCTAAGGACGCAGAACTCTGGATTGGCGCTTTACGAGGGCGCCCCAGACTTACCACCAACTCCTCGGTCGCCGCCTCAGAGCGACTCCCCGCCCCACTCGCCGACGCCGCCGAAATGCCGCTACGGGAACACGGAATGGTAAGGCTGTAACAACGTGCCACATATTTCATGGTTGATGTATCACTTGCTGGCTTCCCCGGGTGCCCCCTTTGAAGAGCGTATTATAATCGTTTTTAAGGCACATGATCAGTATAGTCGGAGTCGATCGGAGCGCACGAGTACCGCTTCTATTTTGTCCGCTGCCGCTGCTTCATATTTGGCTTTCTTTGCGCTGTCACGATTATCAGGCTAATCAAACCAAGTGCATGTACCAGCCACTCCTACTTCCGTTTTGCAATGTTGATACTCCACATGGCTTGTGCGTGCTGTCATTCCGCAAGGCAAGTGGTTATTTCTACTTATTGGTAGCTGCGAAATGATAAATTTATTTTGAAGTGTCTAGCGTTACGTTCGGACAGACCACTGAAGCGCGTATACCTAACCCTCCCCCCCCCCCCCCCCCCCGGCCCTCCCCTCTCTCCCCCGTGAACCTAGGGAAGGCGGAGATTTGGACGTAACTTGGGTTACGTCGGACGTAACGCTAGACACTTCGAATTTAATTTCCCCTCCTTGCATTTATTTTGTTGAGGAGAATCGTTATTAGAGCAGGAAGGCCTGGCCGGGTGAATCTGTAAAAACCCACTCCTAAAATTAAGAGTAAATCTACTATGGTGTAGGCAGCATTGTTGCGGCACCACAGGCGTCAGGTACAGGCTAATAGCCTTTCTGAGGTACCGCAGCCCTCGTGGGTGGAATAAAGATATTATTGTTATTAAATCTATACTATTTCCATGTGTCACCAAATCGCACGATAAGCCGAGAAAATTGCGAACAGCGGTAGACGCGTTAATTTACGCTACGTTTTGGATGGAGCCTGCCTTTTTTCTATTGTAAAAGAGACACAAGTTGCATTATTTGTGAATTGTCTATACGCCGAAGGAGTATTCCATTTCCAAAGTTCCTTCCGCGGTGCATTAGATTCTTTTCAAACACCACTGCTTGGTTTTTTGGTATTATTTGCATAGCTTTTTTAAAACACCACAGCTCGCTTGTTTTTGTATTAGTTTCAATTTTATTTCACAAGACTATAGCTCACTTCTTTTGATGACCGTTGCTTCTTTTGATGTGTGTCTCACATGAGGTTGACGACCATTGCGATCTCAACAGTCTTGTTGTTATTGTTTAGGTGCAGCTACAACAACTGTGGTATTCTCGAGAATGGCACAGAGGGGGGTGCATTTGCTGTCGTAAGATGGGCACAGCGCTGACCCGGGTTCAGCCAGCTGGGTGCATCACGGAGCACCCGGAGTTCAGCATGCTGTGCCTCAACATCCCTGTTCTCCGTCTGCTTTACTTCGAGCTGAGGGGGCTGGGGTATCCTATGCACGACGATATTCACAGGTAAAGCAGGTACCATGGCTGTCTTCCCATATTGTACCATCTAATCAAATTTAGAAAAGCCACGGACTTCTAGAGGATTCGGGTTTATTCTTACGCGGGATGCAACTTATCATTTTGTCCTGCATTTTTGTTCTCGAAAGTGCCTGTTCAATATCACCTCGAACGCTCTCACTTGCTCTAACGCCGCCGAATTGCCACCTGCTTTTCTGCTATTGCCACCCGCTTTTATGCTATCCCGACGCTCATTCTCTATTTTGTTTACGTGCACAAGTTCGCCGATTAAACCTTTATTTTCAGTTTACATTTCCCGAGCCTTTTTCCATCCGGGGCAATGTTTGGTCGGTGTAAAACTAATATTCTAAGGCAAGTCAATGTGGAGACATGCAACAGATTCAATTCCCACACCATTCAGAGTAGGCTTCATGTCCTGCAATGTGTGCACTTCATAGCAAGAAAATCTCACTCGGTTGAAGAATGGCATGTGCAACACTTGCATATTGTGCTCTCTGCAAGAGGTCTGCAAGCGGGGGTCACAGCGCTGCTGAGAGCTGAAAGCTTTAGTTGCTGGGAACAGAGTATTCAAAGAATCAATCATAGTGCTCAATTAAAAACAAAAATCTAGGGACACTGCAATTTGAACATTCATTTTGATTTTTTGTCTGTATAATGTGACCAAAATAACTGAAACCTTTTTCTGTTTATTTCAAGTGTGTCCTCACTACAGCGGCTTCTTTTACTGCAGACGCTTTCGCTACACTGCTTACCGAGTCTTCGTCCGCTGGTTATGGAGACGACTTGGAAAAGGGAATCGGATGATTCTGCTGGCATGTGTAGTCTGCAGAATAAGGGAGGATTTCCCTCCTGAAACCACTACTGGTTTACTGTATCTCCGCTACTAACTCGTAACTATCAGAACAATCGTAAATAAGCTTTGTATGAATGCATACATTTATTAGCTGAACAAACATTGAAAAAGTGTGCTCATTGCTCCATGCAGACGATCTTCATGGCTTGGCAGAAAGCTCCACTTTTGTCCAAACCGCACTCTACATAAACACTCAGAGACATGTTCATCCTTGCCTAGCCGTCTCCCTCAAGGGACGGCTTGGCGAACCTTCTTCTGTGCGCAGATACCAGTTCTTCCTTAGATGGCCTTGGTCCTGGGCTCACAAAGGCCGGGGGAACGTTTGGAGACTTTCCGGCAAGTGCCTCTTAAAAAGTAGGATATGTCTTGCAGTGTTCCACGACTTCCTCATGTAGCCGGTCCACATACTCTGAAATGCAAGACAAGGTAGTGTAGGCCAGTACATCTTTGAAAGGTGCTCCTCCTGTCATTTGACCATAAGTGTTCTAAGTCACGACACAAATTTTCAGTCGTTCTGAATATTGCACTTTGTCACACAGCCAGTGATTAGCACTTGATTTTGATAATGCTGTATTTTTTTTAGAAACATTTCATGCCCTTTTGCCATCAGAAACACATAAAGTAGGTTATACTCCATTCATCCCTTCTGCTGAGACTGCAGTGAAAGCTACGTCCTCGTTGGGCCAGTCATATGCTTCTCGCCACGTCATTATGGCCCCGCCCATACCTGCGCGCAGAAAGCCGGCTCGGGTGATGAAAAGGAGACCGGCGGTTGATTGGTTCGGAGGGCACGTGGCTTCCACTGCAGTCTCAACTTAGGGGTGAGCGAAGTATAGTGCATCCATATTTGTTGTGGTGACCTTTTCATACAGTTGAAATTCTATATGCAGTGTAAATTCTATATCGTAATGAGCTACACTTACCAAAGGTCACGGGGGTCATCCGGGGGTACACAGTGGTAGCACCTTTTTGGGCTTTTGGCGATTTGATGTGCCATTGCTCTTGCCCTTCGTTTGTGACAGCTGGCAGGCGGCTACTGTTTTCGCTAAAGTGGAGTATGGCGGTCATCGTTCTGGAACATAATTGAGGCTGTTTAATTGCTGCTCATGCCTTTATCTTGTGTTAAATAAAGTGTGCAACAACCCTAGTTACACGGGTGCTCGCAACAGCCCTTGAGTCAACGACAGTTGACTGAATCGCGATCGGCCGGAGTTACACGGCGGCGCCAACTGTCATTGAGCCGCTAATGACAGTTGAGTTCAACTGAGCTCCCTTACCTCAGTTCGCCTGAACGGACTTCCCCAATTGAGTTAAAATGGTGCTTGTCCGGGGGACCACTGCCGCCAACCATTGTTTGCGAGGCACTTACTGTTTCGGAATACAGGAGGAGTCGTCTAGAAAGAATCTTAGCAGCAAAATTTCCGGGAGGGAATAGGTTTAGGCGTCAGAGCTGCGACTAAAGCTATCCCGACAAGCCGGCAAGCTACCAAACGAGCGCAAATGGCGGAGGGACCAGCTGTATAAGTGGACAAATAGTAATGGGTGCACCCATCGTAGCGGGCGATAGCTTACACTACCTAGCGTAAAATATGCGAAACCTAGCCCTGAATCCGCTTTGGTACTCGTGTAAACGCCTTTAGAAAGCAACAAGGTATTGAACATAATGTATGATATACTTATAATAAATAAAAGGTGCGTCTTCTAGTAAATTACTTCAACAATTAGACTGATCACGTGGCACAAGAACTAGTTTCGTTTTAGCTTCAACTGGGTTCAAGAGGGCGGTGTTGCACCATCTCAGCTCAGTTTAGTTCAATCATAGGTGGGGGCGATAACTGTGATTGAGCTCCACGACAGTTCAAATCGCCCATGTAACTAGGGTGTAAGAATATCTTTTTGCGACTCTGTCTAAAATTTTTTTCTGGTCTCAAAGAAACTTCAACTGAGAGTGCTGTTGTTTTGGCTTGTTATATTCCCCTCCTTACACCTAGCTTGCTTCCCGTGCAGCCATGTCTTCATACAAGAATGCCGTCGATATGGGTGCAAATTCACTCAGTACGTTGTGGAATGATTCCAGCCCATATGTTTGTGCATTAGGAGACAGCTGCTTCACGTCTTTTGCAGTTTCGTGTGGGCGGGTGAACCTGGGGAAATTGAAGCCTTCAGTAATACAGTGTAGAGTAGAGTGCGTTGAAACATTTTTTTGGCAAACCACAGTAAAAAAAAGTGTATGATCCGCAAAAACGTAACAGTTTTCATTGGTTTTTGGGCGGGCTACCGATTAGATTCACATAGACGTCCATGACTCTGCAGAGCTAATATAATTTTACAAATATCTGTTGACTCGTCTTTCTTTAGACACTTTCCTTTAAACTTAGTGTTCGGCCTATAATCGTAACCAAACAATGTAGATGTATGCAACAGTAACATTTCCAGGTCCATGGAGCCAACCCAGATGCTCCCCATATCAGCCGCTTCTCCGAGCTAAAAGTGAAAAGCATTGAAGCTCGGCTACGGCACAAGAGCTACTGCATGCTTGAGTCAACAGTAACCATATGGTCTTATCAGGCTGCGTCTCATCACAATAGCAGCAATCCGAGCAATAAACACTTTACGTATCTGTGAAGTTTATTTTCAATGTTCCCCATGTGAAATAACTAAGTTTGATTCCACACTAGTTTTTTTTCAATGTTCCCCATGTAAAATAACCAAGTTTGATTCCACACTAGTCGGCATCTTGTATATAAGCAATATTTTTTATCTCTTACGATGTAAACCTAGCATAATAAGATGGTACCAACCAGGCACAATGCACTGTTTGTCTCCAACGTCCTTGTGTAGGCACCGTGGGTAGAGCTGACTATGGCCAGTGTGGATATTGCAGACGTGGTTCGTGACACTCGACCATGCTGCGGCAAGCAGTTCACCATTGCCACCGCTAGCACTTGCCACCACCACAAGTGGTTGCAGACGGGGCTCACCCAGGATGCTAGGTCCTTGCAACCTGCACATTTGCTGCCTGCAGCTAACTTCTTCCTGATCCCTGCAGCAATACAAGTTCAGGGACAAAAATGTTTGCTTGATGTTAACACCCCACTTCCGAATGCCCTACTTTGCCTGCAGTGCAAGCAAGGTCTACCCAGAGAGAATTTCCAGAGAGAGTTGCTACAGCAAAAGTCGCATGCCATGAGGGGAGTAGAGAAGATTTAGCCACACACTCCAGCTAGTCACAGGATAATTGTCGTCAGAGGCTATGGAATGGCCAGTTTTGTTTGGTTCTCTGTAAAATGTTTTTATGAGGTGTGCCGGTATTTCATCCTTCCTCTGCTCACTTGGAGAGACCAAATAGAACAGTTGGTAATGGAGATTGCTTTTAAACAATTTATAATAGGCGCAACAGCAATATCGAAGATAGTTCTAGGGTAGGAAATAGAACACCTATAAGACAGAGCTGCAGGTTGGTCTTCGTTATATTGAAAGACAATGTTCGCATTCACCTTTAACAGCGTGCCACACGTCAAACAGATGCAGGATTGTGGGCTGGTGTATTCTCATGTTGGGCTTTATGCTCGATTGCCTGTCCGTCGTGAACGAGCGAATAAGGATGTTCCTCGATTTCAGGAAAGCAATTCCTCGTGCGCAGCCTTCCTTTTCCATGTTGCTGCTTGCACTTACTTCGGGACACTAAAAAGAAGGAAGTTTTTTATGGAACGGGTCAAAAATATTGCACACTTTGTACCTTTGCCTTGTGCCTGTGTTTTTTGAGCCAATTGTTTTTCCTCTTATTGTAAGGGTTCTCACTTCCTTGACTTGAACCAGTTCAGTGTGGACAATCTTGCTCAATCGATGCGAGTCGTAGCTGTACGTCATGTACTTTGCACTATGTCCCGGAGAATCGCATCGTCCATCTCCTGACAGATCCACGGGCTCTCCCGCAAGGGCTGTCAAATCCTCGTCTCGTTGCCTATCCCAAACCTGGAAATATTAAAGAAAGGCAGTGGCAGCTGTAACAGTGCAGTTAAAGGAAGCTGTATAATAATGAGACTACACAAAAGTGCATTAGCAGTTTTGTATGATAAAAAACATAAATGTGGTACAAGCTACGGATCTTTGCATCTGAGAGGACAAAAGTCACCAAAAGTGCCCAATCTGTCTCGCATCAGAGAACATGTCCTATCACTCATAGTAGGGTATGCTGCCATAGCATTATGCCGGCACACTGCAGAAAGTTGCTGCAGAGTAAGTTACACTATGCTTGAATCAGACGAGGGATCTACGAACCTTTTGCACAGCAGGGAGGAGGTAAGCTTTTTGATAATCGTGGAATCTTCGTTCCGAGAGGACCCTAATATTCATGAGGCGCATTATTCTGAGAGCTGGTGCCGGGCTAGAGCCGTAAAACGGCAGGACAGATGCGATGTCGACATTTCCAACCGGTTTTCTTCCCACGTATGGTTGGCTGAACCAGGTGTGCGAGTGGTTCTTAGGGCAGACGGTTGTCACAGTGAGGCAGCTTCCACTCAGATGGAGGGATGGCTGCGTACCGTACGGGCTGCGTCGATCAGAGTTCAGACCGCAGAAGACAGCGAGCTGAAACGCAGCGCCAAAAAGGTGACATCAAGGCGAATTTTGCGCAAGACATCGCCATCTAATTCCATCTAGCTTTTTCTATGCACTCTGTAATACTTGTTCATTATTATGCTTAAACTACGTTTTGTTATTTTTTAATTATTTAAAAAAAAATTGCTTGATAACTGTCAAATAACCTTTTTCACATAATTTTCTCCACATAACAACAAACAAAAACAAGAACTAATTTGATGCCACAGCTAGATGTACACACAATCGGAAAGTGTAATATCAGTATCTTTAAAAGCTTTCCTGCGGTCTCCTTGTTTATGCCTGCATGTTCAACATTCTATTATGGTGCACATGCAGGCAATTTCAAGGGCTTTCATCAATATAGGTACGCAAAGCAGAGACTCGAACCGTAACCGAAACTGAAAACCATTTAGGAACGAAAATTTTCAGTAACCATAATCGGAACAAAATTGTTATTTGAAATTTAAAAAAAAACAAAAAAACATAACCGCAACCGTAACCGTAAAG